AGGCTGAAAAACTGATAGAGAACACTGACAAGGCAGAGCAGCAGATACACATGACATCTAGAAGACACAGAAGATAAGTTTTGCAGATAGAAATTAACACAATCAAAGTATCTCATAGCCCAGATGTACCTCAGGACTTCAGAATTTTAAACAGACTGAAATGTCATTAGGTATGGCTGTGTCCAAGCATCAAGTATTATGAAAGGCAGAGTACACCTCTGCAGAAACAGTGATAGTATGATATTTTCAAGACAAGAGTGAAAATACATTAATACATTTTGAGTTACCCTCAATGAAAACATACAGATGAAACTATCAGCTGAATATGGAATTGATCAATTTAAGTGTCTGCTGAATTATTTAAGACAAACTAGCCTTCATCAGGCCTCACTCTAATCTTCAATTTTCTCTAGTGAAATATGTTCCTTTGGTACGAACTCATTAAAAACACATCCATCAATGAACAAGCTGTGAAGCCACATGAGGATTGCTTGCCAAATTCTATTTGGGTTAGCTGTCAGTGAATTTCACAAGGTCTGAGCATTAATTATTTCTGAAACAATATTTTGTAATCCCTTCAATTTTATCTTTGAGCAAATACAAGTGATCAAGGAAAAATCTGGGTTGTTTTGTTTTTTTTTTTACTACCAGACAATATGGGAACATCTTTCAAAATGTCGCAGGTTTTAAGAAAAGAAATATAGTGGGAGCTATTACATGTGGCTCTTGAGACAGTAYTCTCATACGTGAGAATGCTAGTACACTTCCCTACACCTGAGGTCAAATGTCTACTAATAGCATCTTGTCAAGTATTAGAAACTTTTTACATCAAAAATGTTTATAAAAACATAAAAACTGTGATTTCTTAAATGGAACTGCATTTATGGATTTTCAAATTTGGTATGATCCAGGATCATTTTATACCATTAAGGATTACAGTCACTGAGTATTTACATAAAATCATAGAATATTTTTTGTTGAAAGGATCAAAAGATCATCTAGTTCCAGCTCCCCTGCCATGGGTAGGGACACCTTCCAGATTGCTCTGAGTCTTTTTCAACTCAGCTTTGAAAATTTCCATGGATGGGCCATCCACAACATCTCTGGGCAACCTGTTCCAGTTGTCTCATGATGGAATTCACTACTGGATTCAGCTCTGTGCATGCAGCATTATCAATTCAGAACTACTTTCTGGAATTGTTCCTAGTGCTACAAACAGTTAAAATATGTTGGCATGAATAGGCCTGAAGCCTTAGTATTGCTGTGTGGACAAGATAGGGAGGAGAGGAAGATGTGTGCTGCTGCAGAGTTGGGGAACTACAGATACAGGACACTCTTGGAGCAGCGAGAAAGCCTAGATTATCATAACACACAATTATCTAAATAATTATATTTGAAGTATTAGGGCACCCATCTAAATAAACTGCATTCCAAAATAACTTAGAAGGGGTGGGGGCAAAGATCTGGAAACATCTGATATGGGACCAAACACTGCAATGCACCTCTGTGCCTCCAAAAATGCCCTGAAATGTCAGACCTAGAGGCACAGGGATGCCTGATAAAGACAAACAAAACTGTGATTTCTTAAATGGAATTGCATTTATGGATATCAAACAATATAATAAATTTAATATGGTCCAGGACCATTTTACACAACAAAGAATTTCAGGCACTGACAAGTGTATGTCAAATCATAGGATGGAATACTATGAAAATTCAGAACATTCAAAGTCTGAATAGCTGGAAGATACCTATACAGAACTTGCTTATGAATAATATATTGACCAGTGGTATGGTAATAGTTCAACAAAAATCCATAAATAGATTCCTGAACTCAAAGTATCAGTCATCATCAATAAATCTAACTAGTAGCTATTATATCAACAAATGAGATTAACATTACTAAATTGTCTACTTCTTAGCCATTTATTTGATATGATGACAGACACTAACTATTCCCAATTTCCAAAAATTAGGAAACAACATTCTCTAAAACAATACTTTTTTCGTAGTAGGAAAGAACTACCCACAAACCGACATTGCTAAAAGTCCTAAAACAACATAATATTTATGAAATTCATCAAAGAAAGTACCAGGTAAAAATGTAAAAACACCAAAACCTTCTGTCAACTGTATCCAAGGTGCACATCTAGATGGAAACCCCATTCATCTCCAATGGTTCACACTGCAAGTGTGCTGTCATAGGACTATTCATTTCTAAATGAGATAATAAGATAACAAAGATAATAACAAAGATAATCTTCATCATTAATAAGTTTTATGGCAGAATGGTGCTAGGAATGACAAGGTTGTGGGTTCAATCCCTATATGGTCCATTCCCTTAAGAGCTGGACTTGACGATCCTTGTGGGTCCCTTCCAGCTGAGAATATTCTGTGATTCTGTGATAATCAATGAAACCTCCAAGAAAATAATACAAAGTTTAGGGAGGTTTTTAAAAAGTTTTGGAGAAAGTTTATTGCCATGAATAAAACCAATTACAAAACAAGAAGTATGGTAAAACTAAATGAAATTGTGTATTGTTTTCTGTCAAGCACAAGCATACTTCATCATGAATTTGAGCAAGAAAATACAACATTCAATGTAACATCAAGTTAAGATAACAACGGTAAGCCAAGTTTTTAATAAGATGAAAAGAATTAACGCAATTTTCATAAAATAAATAATGAATCTGTGCAAGCCCCTCCCGGCCTTCCCCCCAGATCCCCCCAACCCTAAAACAAAAACCAAACTCCACAGTAATAGGTGATACTATCTGTGTTCTGAGACATCAGCCTGGAGTAAGTGAAAGAAAGAACCTAGAGGAAAATAAAGTAGCTTATCTAAAGAAAAACCAAAGTCTGGAAGACAAGATAAGRGCAATAAAAGATTTATTTTATACTTACTGCTGAATGAACAGAAAATACAAAAATGATAAATAAGTTAGAGAAAGAGAAGGCAGAAACCACAAAAACAACTCATAGAGTCAATACAAAGGAAAAAAAAATCCCTATAATCATAAGGTAAAAAAACCAAACAAAACCCCAAAACCACAAGCCACACTCATGAAGGGAACTCGAACTGTTTAGAGTCATGTCCTCAATGCGTTTAAGCCAAAAACGAAAGTTAATTAACTTTGAATGAAACATACAATACTCTAAAAGTCACAGCAAGCCAGTATTTCACTGTCTTGCTCTTTCTCTCAGAGTATCAAATCCTGACTTTCAATTCTAAGCCTGAAAGATAATGGATTTCCATTAGAAAAAGAAATTATTATCACACAAGTAGTAATTAGCCATGTATTCAATATTTAGGTTCTTCCTTAGGAATCAGATAGTTTAATTGTTCCTTTAATTACAACTTTTGAGGAAATTAACATGGCCTCTTCTAATTCTCTGAMAAAATAAAACTATGAAACACTACTCATCTAAAAGACTTAAAGTATTATATTTCATATTTAGGTTTGATTCCCCTCATTTAAAACAGACAACAAAAAATTAGGAATAAACCAACATTTTTAAGGAAAAATAAACAAAACAAACAAAACCAGCAATAATGTGAAGATTCATATTAGAATCAACGGTGGTTTCTAAAGAAATTAGAATTATTCAGCCTGCTCCCCAGCCAACAACAAAAGAAAAGGTACAAGAGAGCCAGATGGAGCTTGAAGAACTTTGATGAAAAGCAAATGGATGGGATTCCATATTCAAAGAGYAGAAGTGACTTATTTAAAATTTTCCCTTGAACAGAAATGAAAAATGTTTCATGTTACAAACATTGTAGCTTGTTCTCTGAAGTCTGCTCTACTACATTCATAGAAGGTGTGACATCAGAGAAACTGATGATGGGGCTTGTTCTTGTTTGCACACTTTGTTTTTTAATGTTTTGCATGGAAAACCAGGAAAAGCACAGACTTGAACTTTTCAGTGGGAAACTGGTTGCTCCTTCAGAAAAGATGCTCCATAAGTTTTTGAGATATAAGAACTCCTACTTTATCCATTAATTTTATTTTTCTGAGTTATAATAATGTCTCAACTTTTTAAGACAAATTTATCAGACAAGCTGGGCCACATGCAGCAAAACTCTACCTACACTGCTACTGGCCTAACTCATCAACTGACAGTTCCATCTAACTGAATAAGGATTATTCCCCCATGGGAAATTCCCTCAGATAAGCTAATCTTAGCAATAACCACCTTAGGCTGAAACTCCAGGAATGGACAAGAAAAACCAAACACTTGTATAGACATATGTGCCAGGAAATTATATAGCATTATTCTGAGTTTGTCTTGATGAAGTAATCACTAATTATGAATTATTAGCTATATAGAAATTATATGCAAACTGTATTTCTGCAAAAGAAATCAACCATCAGCACTGAGCTAGCATTTTCCTTTTTCACTAGTAGTCTTCCTTTGTTAATTCAACCTGGAAGATATTACAAACATATCTTCCCAGTGGGAAGGGAAAAGGTGATTATGTGTACTCTTGACAGACCATGGTATAAAACACAAAGACACGAGGCAGAACAGGTTAACATGATCGCTATGACATTATTTTCTTCTCATTTATGTGGAGAATAGAAAGAAAAACATTAATGTAGAAAACTTCTGTGAAAATGGTAAGATTTATTAATGCAAACAAAAGTAAACCCAAACTATTTTAGCTATGGAAATTCAAAATAGGTCTGCATCTCCCAGTCTGAAACTTTGCCACAGAAAATACCAAAGGTTTCATGGCTTTGGTTTGGCTTCTTTTGCAAAAGTAAATTACTTTTTTAAACAAAGAGAATCCAAAATCATTCCAGCAATATTTCAATAATCAGACCTTCCACCTCCATGGATATGTCCAATGAAAGTCCAATTGTAAGGCAGCACTTCTCCCAGTCTGGAACCCCTTCACTTTTAGGGAGAAGCAGCTGTCATTTTTATTCTACAATTTCATATTAAAACTGTATTTCAAGAAAGGACCAAAAAAACAATGATAATAAAACAGAACTCACCACAACTCCAAACTGCTCAGGTTCAGACAAATTGTTATACTCGTTCTTGAACTTGGACAATGCATTCAGTTGCTCTTGTTCAGGGAGGTGTTTTATTAAATTCTACAAAGAAAAAAAAAATAGGCTTAAAAATCTCAGATTCTATGCTACTTGTATTATTGTAAACAAATGGGTTTACATATGTATCATTACCATACACTCAAAGACARCCCTCTTCCCTGGAGACAGTAGGATGTACACAGCAACACACAAAGTAATTGAGAGTGTAAAAGGCAAGTGATGCAATACTGTCAGCACCTGACAYTGATTCTACAGACATTTCTGTAGTCTTTTCATTACTGTTTTTAAAGAAAGAATTTGCTTGACAGGCACTGTGCAAGCAGAACACTTCAAAGCAAACAGAATTTCAAGAGTAACATAACCATCCAAAGGATGGCAAGAATTACTAATTCTTGATGAAAAGTATATTGAAAAATAATAATTTATTTTCTACCTTTTCAAAACAGAAGKTTAAACCCATTACACTTACTTACACTACTACGTAGCCTGAAAACTTGCTACTTAGAAATAGTAAATCAGAAGTGGGATTCAGCTTCAGCTGAAGTCCATACGGGGAGATTGGACACATACAAGTGAATGTCTTGAACACAAGTAAGGGAACCTAAAACCTTCATCTGWTCATCTGAAGAATCCTCTGACTCCCTGGAGCTTCCCAAACACCTACATATATATTATCTACATAAAGGCACATTTAGGCACCTGAGCCCCACTCTAATTAGATTCTGCTAGGCTGGCTAAAAATGGCTTTTCTGATGTTCTGGAAATAAAGAGCTTCTCAAACTCTTAATTATGGTATAACATTTGAGTCAGTAGCTCAGCTCTGTCCCTTTCCAAGATGACTGCTGTAACTACTAGACCCCTCTGGCCTGCTGTCCCTCTCAGATTATGACTTGTGTTTCTGGTGACTCATTGGCTTAACTTTTGTCACAGTCAGAAAAACATAAGAGAGATTTTTCTCTCTCAAAGCACTCCCTGGTCTACCAGTAAGATCACTCGCCTGAACTGAAGATTCAATTCTTTCAACACTGAGGCCACTCTAGGAAATAGAGCTATCCCACTACCTACTGCCATATTTCAAGAAAGAAACAAAAAGGCCAGCTAAAGCACTTCCCCATTACTTGATGGAAAAGACAGACTTTTGGTTGTCAAAATTTGATTATCTTTCAACTAAAAAGCTTTGGTGATGTATAATGAGCAAAAAATAATTCATTTCAGTTAGTGAAGAAAATCTCCATCTGAAAGTGTTAAAAAACTAATTTTACTCATTAAATATCTTAATTTTTTCTTTTACAGGAAATTCATCCATTTAAGATAAAAAATTGAYCTTTCTGAAGCCAGAGAGATACAAAGTCATACCTATGCTTTGCTTAACATGCTTCCCCAGTTTAAGAAGAACAGATTTTACTCTTTAAGTGGTAGCTGCAAAATATCCCTAAATCAGTAGATTGCTTCAACAGTGTCCATGCTCATATAAGGATTYCAGTAAGAAAAACARAAAACTATTAAAAATAGATGAATGATGTTGCTTAAAACAATAATGTAAACTTAAATTTCAGGAGCTTGATTTGGATATGGTTAAATTGATTTTCAGCAGAACAGCAGTCGTACATATCCTTACCACTATTACATTTGGAAAATATTTTTATAAAAAAGATGACATCTATTAATTATGGATGATGATGTCTGGCACTAAATCAGTAACACTGAGCAAAAATGAAAAGGTACGAAGTGTAAAAAGATACATTTTAAATTAGAAATTCATAACACACCTACTTCTTTTTTTGATATCCAACATTCACATAAACAGCTCTAAATATAATAGAATTCCTTAATCTTTACTGTAATTAAAAAGTTATTGTTGGCTGCAGAAATAGTTTTCTTATGTAGAAAAACTGCCCACAGAACTTTCAAAAAACAAAAACACACAAGTGTTGTACGAATATTTTCAATATTGAGCATCACTAAATTATAAAAAAATCAACCAAAACTGAAGGAGCAGCTGATATCAAAGTGGCTTTTATGGCATTCAGATAAAGCCTTTGAGCAGCTAGAGATGAAACACATTTTGAATATCAGAGAATAAGCAGGAGAAAGTATTTTGACTAAGTCACAAGAAATATTTCAGTAATTAGTCAATGAGTTTTTGGATTACAACATAACTTTTGGAGATTTTACCATTTTCAGCACTAGCTTTAACTTCCAACYGAAGAGGGGTGGGGGAGGGAGATGGAGAGAGATGGAGAGAAAATACATTTTATTTATTAAGCATAACAAGAGTTGGATTGAGGACAAATTTCCAACCTCAGAAAAAGTGATATTAGGCCATAATGAACTACAGTTATAGCTATACAAAAAAACCTACTGAGAGCAAAAAATGCGTAGAAAGAAGTACCACACTGTCTAAAGTAACTTATATAAGAACGAAGAAAAATAGCCATATCCTTGCAAACTTATGTATGCTTTCTTCTTCTCAGAATACACAGAATACATTTTCATAGAATGGCCTTAACACATACTTTAAAAGRATTTTGAAGGTAAAAACAGAGCCATACAGCTGGATACTTAAATTTATTTAGTAACCTAAGTATATTTGAAGGTGGATACCAACTTTTTGAAGCAACAAGTCACATTGTTCTACCACTTTCAAAGCAAGAWGGGTGACTTAAGTCCTTATCCAAGTTTAAACTCAGCCCCTTTTTCAAAGTTACTATAGGCTTTTTTTTTTTACCCAAAAACAAGCAACTTGGACAAAACCATTAGAGAAAAAATTATTACATCCGAACATGCAAACTAAATTTGAAGTCCAAGTTTTACTCCATTTTCCACCTGATTTAGGAYTCCCAAGTGTTTCATCACTTGGCAAAAAGTGCAGTCTATGTCCTTGAGTGATTTATATAACTGTGCTCATACAGGAGCTTGTGAGTATTATCACTTGCATTCCATTCCACTGACTTTTMCACTCACTGTCATCTTGTAGGACATCATTTCAGACCTCACTTTTGGCTCTACAACTTCTGCTACCCTTTTCTTAAATAAAATTGTTCACTCCCCTCCAAAAGCAAACACAATAGGAGTCAACCTCTGTCAAAACCACTTTGGACTCAATTTTGATGCCATCTGCATAGAGAGATTACTGGGTACACTGACTTGCAACTTAYTTTATTGTTAATTCCAATTAATAGAGCAACAAGTTTATCAGCATACTGTCAAAAAGTTATCTCCTATGGTATTATTATCTCCTATTATACTGTTAACCATTCCTACTGCATAGCTACTCCACTAGGGCTAGGGTCTGTTCGATGTTTTAAATTTACAGAGAATTAGGCGTTCTTTATCCCAAGGGATATACAATAATAATGAAAATAATAGTTCACAGAAGAAATTAAAATAATGAAAGAAGAGCGAAAAATTTCTAAGTTAAAATAAAGTTCCTCTATTTATTGCAATTTCACATAGAAGTATGCTATTAATTAACTACCCATTAATGGTTTGATGACTTTTTTCCCCAGAGTCTAAATGCAAAAGTAAGGGTTTTTTAAATAATATACCCAAAAATTATCAAAATGACAGTTTTTCATAATTTTGATAAGTAGTATTTATTTGCACAGGTTGTTTCATATTATTGTTGAGGACCTAATTTTTCYAACAAGCTAAATTTTAACCTATGAGAAACAGTGCTAAGATCAAATACCGTGAGAGTCTCAGGGCAAGCATGGACTATCTGAGACAGAGTTCAAGCTCAACATAACAACAGAGCATATTTCATCTCTCATTTTTTCATGCTATCATAAAGAATTTCTACTGTTATACCAAAAAAAATAAAGATATGCATCATGCTGCTCTTGAGCATGAAGAAAACCTTGAAAAACTGATCTAAGTGGAAGCTACAYTAAAAAAGCAATTTAGAAGTGTAAACTATGTTCATCCTAATAACCCTAAAGTAATAGTTTCAGTGCCAATATTAATTGCATCATTGAATAGAAGAATGATAACTATACAATGACTACATATACTGTCATTGGAGATGATGGTGCAATCTTGGTCCTTCAAATATTTAAGAGAAACATCTCATTCTCAACGAAGATGGGAAAGTAGATAAATAAAAAGCTAAAGAGAGATTAAACATCTCTCTGAGATCCAAGTGACAAGAAGTGAGGGTAAGACCTCATGCAGGAAGAAAAAGGGCATGCTGAGCATTGCACAGTGTCTCAGTAGGATGTTATTTTGACATTGCAATATGGTGGAAATTTATTTTGCAGGAAAACCATACAAACACAGAATTACCTGTTTTGACCTCTGAATACAAGTTGCTATGTGTTGTAGTACAAGCCACATCTGAATTTCAACAAGCCTTGTATATATAACAACTAATTTTACGCCTCTAATTCCTATATTTGTTTTAACTAATGAACATTCCTGCAAAAATAGTATGTTTCTAAAAAAATCATCTACCTTCAACTTTCTTTCCTGTTTCAGTAGGAACTGGTATCCAAGTCTGAAACACACTTTTAAGTATGCTAAAGAGATTAGCTACCTAAAACCTACACCACATTACTAGTAGATTAATAGTAATTATCAGTTATTTATATATTTTGTTTTGACATTTATGAGCCATAATAGCAATAATTTGAAGTTCATCACAGTATGCCAGAGTCCTGTCCAAAAGACATACMATTTTTCTAAGGAAAGATTTATGATGCCCATCAAGATGACTCGGGAATATGGCACATGGCAGGCAAGGACAGACTAAGAGAAGTCAGTTCGTTAAACTCCAGGAAAGCAAGCCTTATGGGCATTTAATGTGTGCAGATAAYCCAACTAGAGGGTACAAAGAAGGTACAATTAAGTTCCTCTTGGAGTTGTGCAGTAGAAGACCAAGGTCACAAATTATAACAATAAAGATTAGAGCTATTTTCCACACAAGTGTTCAACRCATGAAAATGCATCCAGAAAGTCTGTGCGGTCTCTAGCCTTAGGGATACCAAAAAATTGATGGAAAAGGTCCTGATCAAACCACTCTAGTTGACCTGGCTTTGAGAAGAGACTCAAATAACTTCAACACACCCCTTCCAATTTATTTTTTCCATTATTCTAAAATGATTAATTTGTCTTTATTGCATTAAATTATTCAGCTTTTCAACCCTTAAATATCACAGTATACAGAAGAACTTCCAGTTTCTTTTAGSTCCATCTAGAGTCATACTGGCTTTGTGCTTTAAAAAATAATACTGAAAGTGAAGACACTACCTAAAAATCTCCATGCAAGAGAAGTGGTGAATGCTGTGAATGCCGTAGGGCAAGATATAGGATTGTTACATCTCTAACAAACAAAAAAAAGCCCAAACCAAACCAAACAAAACAGAGATTTGTGCAGATACGACAGAGGTGAAAACAAAGTAAGGAAAAATTTGGTAAGTAGGGAAGAAACAAAACATCATATATACCCAAGAAAATGTCTCTACTTAGGCATGGACAATATGGAAAATTAAGAATATAAATTTAGCTATGTCATAGTTTAATCCCATCCAGCAATCAAGCCCCAAGCAGCCACTTGTTCACTCTCCACAGTAGGATCAGTAAGAGGTTGGAAGGGTAAAAGCCAGAAAACTCATAGGATGGGATGAAACCATGCACTCAAGCAAAGCAAAGCAAGGAATTCATTCACAGGTTCCCATGGGCAGGGAGGTGTTCTGCCATCTTCAGTAGAGCAGGGCCCCATCTGTGTAATGGTGACCTGTAAAGACAAACAGCACCACTCCATCCCCCTTCCTTCTTCTTCCCCYCACTTYATACACTAAGCATGATGCCATAAGGTCTGRARTATTCCTTTGGTCAGTTTGGGTCACCTGTTCTGTCTGTGTCTCCTCCCAACCTCCCATGCACCTCCAGCCTTCTTGCAGGCATGGCAGGAYGAAAAGCAGAAAAGGCCTGGACTCCATGTAAGTTCTGCTCAGCAATAACAAAAACATCTCTGCAAAATCAACTATGTGTTCAGCACAAATCCAAAACACAGCTCCATAACAGCCGCTGTGAAGAAAGTTAACTCAATCTCAGCCAAAACAACACAAGCTGCTTTCATAAAAATATTAGCATCACAATTTTTTAAAAAAAATCTACAGTTCACAACAGAAGAAGATTCTTGCAGTTATTTATTGGCCAAGTTTACATTAAGAGGGTTTTTTTGCGTTTCTATGTACTGAGATGCTTCTCRTGAAATATTGGGATTTTAAGTGTAATTTTAATTACCTGAATCATGGACTCTGACAGTTGTGTTTCATCTACTTCCAATATCATCATTTTGATCTCTTCATAAGGCACGCGGAAAGATCCAAGGAAAATTGCTAAAACAAAGATTCCACAAATAATGAAGAAAGCAAGACAACATCTTGCTTCTACTTAAAAAACAGCAGTGAAACAGGTCATAGCATCTCCAGATTAACAAACACTACACAAAATAATATAGGTAAGARATAACAATTTTTAATGTAATTTTAATTACTGTTCTTTTCCAATTCCAGCTTTCTCCATATCTATTTGTTATGCACAACATCCAGCATTACAGACCTTCATAAGCAGTCAGAATAAGTCTACTCTGCAGAAGAATCACTGCTATTACAGTATTTTGTGCCGAGTGACAATCAAAATTTTCTTCTTTTCTTCAATTATAATTTTCTTTCRGTCTTGTCAGACCTTTCTCTTAAAAAAGCACCATGACAAACCAAAACATATAAACAGAAACCAAAATGCTCTTATAAACACTTTCTATTTATTCAACATATTCCAATTGTTTCTTATTTAATCTCTGCTGGCATTTAGAAACCTATTCTTCCTAGCACTCCTCTCCATCAAAACTTTATCTTCTTTTCATATTTTTCCATACTATGGAGTATTGCCTACTTTCTGTAAAGGCCATGAGCTGGCCAGACATCCTGTGGACATTACCATCCTCCTTTCACCAGGGGGTGGGGAAAGGCAGGGGAAGGGGGCCAGGCAGTGYTCCTGAATATATTGCAAATACAGATAGATTAGATACACAGCTGTATGCTTGCTCATCAATATATCCAATCTTGAACTAAGAACAATCTTTAACTGTTTTTAAGTGTTTAAGTTGTATCAAGTCACATTCTCGGGCTTAAAAACAAWATGCACATATTTAAACACATTTTAAACTAGAAGTGTTACAAGGCAATCAGATAACAGAGAAAGGCATTTTTATGGAATATTTATACATTACTTTGTGGAAATAAAAAAATCAATAGAATCTACTTACACAGATTCTGTGCAATCTTAGGATCCAAAACTTTTAATTCTTTGATCCGTTTTTTAATGGATTTCTTTTCTTCAAAATCATCTTCTTCTCTTTTTACTGCCAAAGTAAACACAAATACAATCATGGTTAGTTTTTAATATTTAGAGGAAACATTCATGAATGCAGAAGCATATTTGCTATCAAGCTTAGTCAATTCAAAAAGAAAAGAACATATAATAAAACATACAGACAAAAAACAGAAAGGTTTTGCACATATTGCTTGTATTCCAAAACTTTTGCTCTTCCGTCAAMTTCGTTAGCTTGTTAGCCTTCTAGGTTGTATTTTTAAATATATAAGACCTGAATAAACATGCTAATGTTACTTGTACAAATTCAGCCATATTTAAAATATCATGCAACATGCTCCAGTTACCCTGGCCAGGCTAGGAATATGAATCAGATTTTAACAATAACAAATCTTAAAAAACATGAAAATATGTCTCAACACTGAGACATCTATCTATTTTTGTGATTGCTTTTGTCTAACTATATGCACCAAAATTAACAAAGATCACTAGCTTGTATATATATATAAAACTCAAAAATATGTATTTTTAAATAMATTATGCAAGCACATTATTACAAAATATCACAAAGTGATTGTATCAACATATACAAATTAACATTGCTGGAGATTTTGCCTTTATTCTTTTTTTCAGAAAATATTTCTTACAAATAGGATCACCCAAATACATTGTATTAGYTGAATTTATTTCTCATTATTCACACACTGTCATAAGAACTTCACTTAAAATAGCAACATAGGCTGGATAAGGTACTAGTAGGAATTATTATACAAACAAATTAAAAAGCAAAAACCACACAAATCTTTCCTGAAACACAATCTGGTTGTACTCTTCTTTTCCTTTTCCTTCTTCCTCCCCCTAGCACAAATCTTCACTGTCAAATGTTATTTACCAAACCTATTGCTACTGTTTATCTAATTCTGTATATACTATTTCACAAATRAAATTAGTTTCCAAGCTTTTACAGYATGATTGTTCCAAATTAAGTTATACATGCTTCAGATATTTGAGAGCAGAAAATATGCTACAAAAATATAATGTACTGACTTCTGAAGGAGACAGATATAGATGAGAAGTCCTGTCAAGAACACATAGGATTAAAATTTCTAGCTCAGTGATGATCCTTGACAAAAGTAGATATGAGCATGAATTATCAAGAGGATTTCCCTAAGCTGAAATTAATTCCAAAAATGTTAAGAGAGATATTTGAGAGCTATATCATCCTTACAATATGTTTTCTAAGCACAATAAATTTTACCAAGGATTGGGACGTAGACTAAATGACCTCTTTAGGCCTTTGAGTTTTGTGTTGTCTAGGACACAACCAAAGACACAAGGACCTCAAGATCTCACATAGGGATTGAAGGAACCAGATTCAAGTCCCTTCTGAGTAGGTGGAGACACAAATTTGAATTATCTCCTAAATCACTTTTGATACTCCATACCTGCTGGGCAGCATGATGCTACTGAGTACATGCCAGTGCAGAAGAGAATCTGTATTCTGCAAAAACAAAATCACTAGGCAAAGACATAAAGCAGTCCTTAGAATAAGGACTGATATCCAGGGTGCTGGAAAATGGGTTACAAAGCCACGATCCTCCTCTTTTGTCTGGTCCCACTCTACCCACAAATTCTGGTTGGCCTTGAATTTCTTTTAGCATAGATTTAACAGAATGGCAGGCAGTCTCCTGTACCAGGAAAAACTACACACCCTGCTTACTACACACGTGAAAACGAAAGTATGTTTTCACCACTAGTGTGAAAACTGTAACGTGAGAATTCTATATTACATGTTCCAAAGGAATAGAATTACATTAAATCTACTGGATAAAAAGTAGGTTTCCACTAAAGGTCCACTTTTTCTGATTATGCTTTAAGAATAGCCCTTACTGAACTGAAAAGTGCTATGTCAAGGGGTTCAGATCCCAGAATCACATGACTCTTTTTTCCTTCAGTTACAGGCTTTAACAGACCTCTCACATTTCTTAACTTCTTCAGCAACACACTGGAAACAGTGACTCTTAAAAACATGACTTTTGAGTTGTCTCAAARACTTGACAACACTAGAATTGCAGATTCCTCTAGAAGACCTGTACATCCCTGTAGCACAGATTCCAAGCCATCCTCATACCTTAATGAAAATACAGTAAAATGCTTTATSGCTACCTTGGAATTTTGCAAAGAAACTTGGAACTTTAAAGGAAACAAAATAATTTCCTTTGTAGTCACTATAAAAAGAAGTTAAATTATCTACATTTATTCATTTGTTTAAACTTGCCATGACAGCCTCAAATGAATACTAGTAGGGGCAGAAAATTAAAAAAAAAAAAAAAAAGTTTGCCTCTTCCAGCACTAGAAAGTAAAATTTATTCATTACAAGTCTCATAACAGAGATAAAACAGATACACAAACATGCAAAAAAAAAACCCAGGAGTTAAAACATGTACTACTTCATTCCCTATTTCCAAATCAAGAAGCAATGCTGCAAATGAACTGGCTAAAGCCTCAGAAATTTTCACCCAGTAGGGAGGGGGCTATGCACGATGTTACAGCACTAAAGGCACCACAACAACTGAGGTAAAACATATAAGCATAGAACACATCTACTCTAGGAAACTCATGCAGGAATTGTATGCAGAGTTCTACAATTATGCAACAAAMTAAATTACTGCAAACTTACATGATACTTCAGCAGAATTCAGGTCACGTCCTTATGWAGTTGGCAGCAATAAGAAGCAGAGGACAGATTACTTTTCTTGCTCATTTGAAATGTTGCACTTCCTCCTGTTAACTCTGATATTTCCTACCTCCCCTAGTAATTGTTATCRCCTTTGCTCATGTCCTGGTTTTGGCTGAGAACATGGGTAATTTTTCACAGGAGCCATGAGGCAASAGAGGCTAGAGCTGTGTGGGCATGGCCAAGACACTGCTATCAAATCCCATCTCACCTCACGGCCAGGGAGGAGGAAAAAGGGACTCTCTCTTGCTTCCTGTAAAGGAGGAGGAAAGAGGGGGCATTCCTTTTCCAGGGCACCAAGCAACAAATGGAGTGATGGGATAATGCTGGTCCTGACCACATGGTCTGTCTGCCATGTTTCTCATTGTCTTGGGTTTGTGGGAAAAACATGGGGGCAGATGGTCTGTCCACCATTTCATTCAGTGTCCCAGTCATTGAGCAATTTTCACCTGTAAATCACCCTTTTTGTAAACTTCTGTTATTAATATTGTTSCTGATACTATTCTTATCTCATTGCTGTTTCCAGTAAATTGCTTTTATCTCAAGCCATGATCTCTGCCTTTTTTAGCTCACACTGAAGGCAGGAGGGGGGCACTAAATGAGGGAGTGCTGCTCCTGAAGCATGACAAGTGGCAAAAAAACCAGAACAAATATAAAAGCCCCCAAAAGCAAACGATAACTATTGAAACATAACTATTGACTATTTCCAACAAGAAAACATGGAAAAATCCCACAGCAGAGGGGAATGAATAGAAATATCTGAACAGGTGAAGTATGTATCTAGACTAAAAGGAAATCAAAGAAAATAAGCCGTTAAAATTTCATTTGTGAAGCACACTGGGATAGAGATGAAAGCATACAGAAGAAAGAAAACGGGAATATCTGCTTACAGTGGAAAAAATAAAGCAGCTTAGTGGGAGTGGGCAGCTGCTGCAGAAAGAAGGTGACTATTGACGGAAATAGATGTGAGATGCCACCATGCTAATGCGAGAGGAATCAAACCAGGGGATCACAAAATACACATACCATTTTCATGGCTYCAGAAGTTTGATCTTACTAAACTATTAACTTTTCCAAAACTACTTTTATTTTCAGATATTATACAACAAAGAAACATACACCCTTTAAAGTTCTGCCTATATGCTAAATCTATCCCACTGCAGGACATAGTGCCAGCAGCSGAGCTGGACAGTGCTTCATCCGTATACCTCATCTGATGCTCCTGCCCTGCTCTCTCAGGCTGAGAAACAAAGTGCTAGAGCACTTTAAAACACACGGAATGCACTTCCCTCCCTTAGCAGTTCCTCTTATCTTCACACCTCATATCCTTATTAGCAAGACAAAAATTAACAGATGTGGTTGCCAGCATACAGACTGACAAATACCTCAAAGGAGTTTTAGATACTGGACAGATTGCTGTTACTCTGTCCTTCAGCTTCAGATCCACAAACACATTCAAACGTAGTCAACTATCTCCATCTGTGGCAATGACCTGACTGAAATTAGGGTCCAGAAAAGAGTGGTGACAGGACTGTTTTACAAATATTACAGTTGGAAGCCTACAGAACAGCACTTCATAAAATTGTGGACTGGATCCTGTGGAGTTATTCTGTAGAACGCTGAAACAATTACATTCTTGGTAGGTGCCACTGAAACAATCTATCTACATTCATGAATTGCAGTACATACACATTTCCATTTCTGCCACAGGTCTCACATAATCTGCTAGCCACAATCTTTATTAAAAAAATCACGTCTGTGTATCTGTATGCTAAAGAAAAAAAATATTCTAAAATACATCATCCTAGTGAAAAAAAAATCCTTGAAATACAAGCTTCAAAAGGAATATATCTGAACATTCAGATCTGAACATTTATTTTTAAARGTCTGAATTCTTCTTTCAGATGAARCTTGAAAACTACATTACACAGAACACTCAGCGGAGTTTTTTCGTCACTAAGTAGTGTTATTTTGTCACTAAGTAACAGAGCATTCCAAAAATTAGAAAATTGCACATGACCTTACACTTTTCCTAGCCTCTCAGCTAACACAACAGTCATATTRCATCTTCTCTTCACTGAAAAAGGAAAGAACAAGCTTGGGGTCRTGGACTGAAAGGATGTACCCATACCGAGTGTCATTATGAAAGTAGATGCCTACTTCATCTGTAGAAAACTCTAATTCTTAAAAGTAAATGATAGCTTGTGTCCCATATAGCGGGGTATTCAACTGAAAAACCTGCAGTGCGTATCTCCTAAAAGTTATCTGGAATCAAAGGAACAAATCTTTAATAG